ACTTAGTCGTTTCAATAGCTTCAACGTGGCTCCTCCACAGCTGTTATTGTGCACATGCAGCTTGGCATTACGTCAGATCAGCTCTCACGGTAACTAGGCACGATAGGTTTCGTTGCAGGGCGTGGCTTAGTGGCAGCTTCTTCAGTGCTGCTGCTTCGGCTCATGCACAGCTTGGTTGGCACAGTGGTTGTCACAGTGGTTGGCAAGATAGCAAGATGAGGCAAGGCAAGGTGGTGCATAGCTGTGGCACTCTTAGTTGCTAGATAAGTTTGTGACTAGGTGTCGTGCAGGCAGTGGTCATTTTCATGCTGGGCTTAACAGTTTTGTTGTAGAAAAGTTGTGTGTGCGTGTGTGTGTTTTTTTTTTTATGGTTTCAGCAACATATATCTTTTCTCGTTCATATATATATATATATATATATATATATATATATATATATATATATATATATATATATATATATATATATATCAGGGGTGAGACAGCTGTGCATATTGCGCATTTTTGATACATTTCCGTTTTCTTGCGCCAAGCTGCTGCAAAAGCATACAAATCGCGAACATTGCGCGGAACTGCTCTAAAACAGCCCTGAAATCTAGAATTTTAATGCCAACCTCAGCTTCAGTGGAAAAAAAGGCCGAGTTTACTAATGAGACGCACCCAATCGCGTATTTATTTTTTACTTTGCACTTTCGTGGTGACGAAAGCTCCCATGCTGCCACCATTATCTCCGCTAAACTGTTGTAAATATACGTGACCATGCAAAAATGTGCTACCGTGGATCGAGCATGCTGCTTTTGTGAAAACCCCAAAGTCGAGTGGCGAGTATAGCGGAGTTGACTCTTAGATTATTTGTTGTGTGTAGCGGGTTCCTCCGGTCGCTGCGGTTTTCACATTGATGCTGCTTCATGTGGTCACCTACACGTGTGCGTTTTTCGTGAGCGAGTAACTGTAGACGTGGCGTCATTTCCCTGCATGCAACGCATGCAGGGAAATGTTTTGTAATCTAAGCTCTCAACATGTGCTTTAAGAGGTGCGCTGCATGCGTGCCGACTCTAGGGTGTGCTTTTAGGCTTAGCTCGATTGGCGTTTCGGTCGGCGGCAGTGTGACTTCGTTTTATTTATTTTCTTCTTATGCAATTAAACCAGTGTCCGTACATTCAGCGGTTCGTTTCCGTGGACATGAATTTCTTACCTGCGCTGCGCGAGCGCTTTACGGGAGTTGCGGAGTGGCAATCGCAAGTTGATGTATTATCGGGCGTTCGACATCGACGGGAATGACCTACAATAAAAAAAAAAAAAACTGGTCAACGTGTGCCGTATTTATAATAACGCGGGGTTGCTGGCAGGGAGACGCATTTTCAGTATCATTCGCTTATTGCTTAGTGTCATATGCACAGGCTTTACGAGATAGTCGATGCGGCAAGGTTTCTTGGATCCGGCGCTGTAATCTTGAAGGTGGTTCTGCACGAGGTGGCCGTGAACGGCGGTGCAGAGCGCGTTTGTTATTTAAAAGCTCTTGGCGCTATCATGTCAGGCTTTTCTTTAAGCAAAGTACCACTGTTATGTAATTAAGATTCTTGTGCAATCACAATTTTTTAATTTCTTTTTGAATTTGATGCATTTTTTTTATGTTGTTGATTAGCGGGGCTGCAGCAGACAAATTCAGGGGGTGCGTTTATTATGCAGGAAAAATAAAAATCCTAATTTTGACGACTGAAGTTGGTGGCACGTTTATTATGCCAGTGTGTTTATTACGCGAGTAAATATGGTATTATGCAGAGCTGTGCATGATGCTGTTATGGCATTAAGAAACAATAAACTTTAAAACACTAGTCGGTTTGTTGTCATTCATCATCATGATGAGAACTTGGAATAATTCTAACAATCCTAAGGTCCCCTTGAATTTCGATTATATAAAGCCTACTGTTTATCAGAGTCACCTGGCCCTGTTATACTTGTATACTTGTGGTACAAAGCACATGTAAAAAGGAAACACTATGAAGGCTTTAATAAAATACTTTGTGTTGGTACAGTAAAAGCCCTCTTTATGACAGATGTAAAAGCTGACATGTCTGGTGGTACACATCAGGAAAATGTAATGACACCATTTTTTTTTTGGTGGTCGTGGGATGCGTCTTCCGTGGGGCTATTCTAGATGCTGATGAATGCTAGAAAGATGAGGTGCTGTGTTAATGTCTCATTGCTACGATGTTTCAAGCTGCTTGCATTTGTACCGAACAGTGGTGTTCGCACAATCTACACTTATGCTTAACATGTGTAAAGGAGATCGCGGGTTCGAATCCCGGCTGCGGCGGCTGCATTTCCGATGGAGGCGGAAATGTTGTAGGCCCATGTGCTCAGATTTGGGTGCATGTTAAAGAACCCCAGGTGGTCGAAATTTCCGGAGCCCTCCACTACGGCGTCTCTCATAATCATATGGTGGTTTTGGGACGTTAAACCCCACATATCAATCAATCTGTAAAGGAGATGCTGCACGGAGTTTTTTTAATGCATTTTTTTTACTTTCACTGGGCTGACATGCTTGACTTTTTCTCTCATCTCCCTCCTCTGTTCTTTAATTGATTACCGTATTTATTCGTGGAATGAACCCACTCGCATAATGAACCCACCCCCCATGGTGATCCTTGAAAAAAGAATTTTTTTTTAATGTATCTGTTCATTTTATTTTGGTGTGATGGCCAGTGTCGCTGACAATTTGAAACAACGTTAAATCAAGCTGTTATGTCATAAAATAATGATGCAATAAATGTCAAAACATAGTTAAGCAACCATGCTAAAAAGTTGCAAGCCAGCATGTGCACAGCCAATGTATATCAAAACTTAAAAGTGGCACCCTTCGCGGTAGAGCACCATCTGTGGAATGCAGGAAAAACCTTTTTCAAAGCGCCATGCAAACACAGTGGCACGAAAACAAAGCGCATGGCTTCCAAGATAATGGGCGCACGGCGGGCTTTTATGCCGCGCACCCGAACGCCATGCAAAGTGCAACCGCGCCCACCGCGCTAACAACATGTTGTGCACCTGCAACGTTTCTGCGCCGCCACCCAACGGTGCGTTTCTATTGTCGGATTTGTTGTAGTGAATTCAGTTGGAAACCTGCTGCGCAGGGCGCATTCAGCTGGTACGCTAACTACACGGCTGCATGCGCTGCAGCATGCGAACCGAGCGGCTGGACGACACTTTGGAGTCGATTCGTGCGCTTTCGTTATGGGAGGAAAACAGGAAGAGCTTTGGGCTACAAAAAATATTTGACACACATTTCGCGGACCAAAAGAATCATGCGAAATTTTCGCTGTTATGACTCCCGTGACTTCTTTTCTCTCACGTAATGAACCCTTCCCCAAATTGGTCTCAACTTTTCTGAAAAAAAAAAAAAAAAAAGGTGAGTTCATTACGCTAGTAAGTACCATAACTACTTGAATCTAGGCCGGCCCCTAAAGTCTTAAGCCCGGGGAAAAAAAAGCTTACCTCGTATGTAGGCCGAATGAAACAGCAAAGACCGCCGCAGTCACAAAGAGAAAACATTTATTGAACATGATGATAAAACACAGCAGTTGGTTCATGATGCAAATAACTCGAGAAACATCAGGTGCCAGTCCTGTTGTGCTTCTATGACGTTGTTTTCCTCACGCTGCTTCTAGTCCGATGCCGCGCTCAGTCATAGTCGTCGACACTGTTTCCCTCCTTGCTGACTACAAACAGTTCACGATCCTCGATGCCATCAAACGCATTGGATATGCCGCACTTCCTAAAAAAAGCACACAATCAAAAATCCCGGGTTGTCGTCCCACACTGCAGCCCCTCCAGCGACGCGCAATTTTTCTGTCCACTCCAATCTCCCACCTGGCTTGAATGTTGGACGACGATTCCGGCGTTAGGACAACTTTCCTTTTATAAGTGGCACTGTAATGCCACTTATAAAAGGAAAGTTTGGCGCCATTGAGCTACGCCACCTGTTTGGCGCCATTGAGCTACGCCACACACAGAGCACTCGAAACGTGACTCGAAATGACGAACGGTGCGCCTCAACGCTCACCACACAGATGAAAATGGCGGCCTCACATGTGTACTTAAAGGCCACCTTCGGCAATTTTTCGGGGTCGGTGGATCTTGATGAAATTCACTGGGCACATTCATTGGCACGTTTGCGCCATTCGTGCAAAATTGCAGGCTTGAGAGTTTTTCAGATTCTTTTCGAATTAATTTTATAGCTTGCCTCGAAACGCTCACCTCGCTTGCCAGAATTAATGGTAATATTGTCACTGTGACGTTGAGTTTTGCCTGATGGAAGTGATGGAACTGATGTGCCACTGCAGTGTCTGCTTGTCTGCTATGAATTGTGTGGGTTTTGCCGGCGCTTGCTTGGTTGAGCGTGCGATTTTCTTTTCCTTGTTGGTGGGCTGCGATAGTAAGTGGTGTTGCGTTGTGAGCCACACACGATTCGCCATATATTTACCATGACAATGCAAGCATTTTAGCCGATCGCTGCGGACGGCGTGGACAGGTAGTGCCATCTGGTGAGCATTATGCGCAATCAGGATGGTTCCGGGCAGCGCTAGGCAAATGATTACATCACATGTAGAAGAGCACTCAGTTGGGTTTCGGTATTGCGGTTTTTTGGTAATTAAAAATTATTTTCCAATTTGTTGAGCATTTCAGCTATTGGGCACGGGACAACAGTGTCTCAGGAACATAAAAACACCATTATCCTGACATGGTCGAAAAATCGCCGAAGTTGGCCTTTAAGCCATGTGTTGGCTTGGTTACTAACAGCTATAATACCGTCTAGGTGGCGCTAGTTGTGCACCGCTTTTTTTTTTTCAATGAAAATTGGCCCGTGTTTAAAAATCCTCGAAATAAGCCGACCCTGTAGTTTGATGCATCAAATTTGAAAAAAAAAAAAAAAGAACTTATCGGCCTAGGTTCGAACAAATACGATACAATATATATATATATATATATATTTTTTTTTTCAGAATGTCGTCATGAAAGAGGGTGATGGCTTCAAGGTGGCCATGGGAACCTTTGACCGCACCAGGACACCCGTGAGTGTTGTTGTCACATAGCATGTGTTACTGTCACTTAGGATTTTTAAGAACTCATGAAGGGGCCTATTAGACCTTAGGCTAGGCATCCTGTAGACACTACATTTATTGGAATAACCATTACGAGGATTCCGCAACACTGTTTCAATTTGGTTGAAAAACACTGCCCATGAGTAGTGAAAGCTCATATGAACATGTGAGCCAAGTAATATAACACTAGTTTGTCAGAACACTTAGTTTTGTTTCATACAGCAGAAAGGCACACATTTCAATTAGCCTTGAACTATGAGTCTGCCCTTAAATCCTTCAATCATAAGTACCGTATTTACTCTAATGTAATGTGTGTATTATGCAAACGTTTGCTACCCAAAGCCAACCCTGGCATCGCAATTGAAGACCGCAGTTTACATTCTCTAAGAAGTGCAATAGTGCACACAGTTACTTCATTTTCATTCTTTTTTCCTTCCTTCCTGGAAGGTCACCACTCGCGTTACAATTGTGTTAGTATTATTATTGAGCCAATACAGTACATGTCACGCCATAAAAGTGGCTTAAAGATGGTCTGAGCCACTTTCAGGGGTGGGTCAGTGTCAGGGGAGGATCAACTTGAAGCTAATTCTTGGTGGTGACTTCAATATCAACATACAGGAGTCGCCTGCTGCCGCAGTTATATTTATTTCAGTGGTCGAGTCATGTGGCTACAGCATAGGAACAGAAACGCCTACACGTGTTACACCTACTTCAGAAATGTTGATTTATTTTTTTATTACCAACATAAATACAGGTAACCTAGAGTCGGGTGTAGTATATTTTAACATGAGCAACTACTTGGCACTTTATTTTGTTACTGAAAGTGCAGTAAAGAAACCGTCATAATTTCCCGCTAGAACAATTCAAAATTTCACACCTCTCACTTTGACTGCTTTCAGTGCAAGTTTTTCCCAAACAGTGCGGTATACCTTTCACAAACTGCAAACACAGCATATGAAACATTTATAGCTATATTTAAACAAATCTAAGCATAATAAAGAAAAAAGTTGTTAAGAAAAGTCGTAAAAGTCATAAGTCATAGAATAATCGCCAGTGCATAACGATGATAGAAGGGAAATCAAAGCTATTCATAAAGTTTTTAAAAACTAAATATGTGTCAGACTTGAAGATATTTTAAAAGATACCAAATACCGTAATTACTCGAATCTAACGCACACCTTTTTTCCGGTTAAGCGAGTTCATAAATCGCATGCCCGTTAGAATCGAGTACGAAAAAAAAAAATGAATACGGTCATTTTAATGCCATCGGCATTCCAAAATGGCCGCCCTCTACGTGCGACGGCATGGCGCGTCGGCCATTTCTGCCTATGTGTTTCCCATGTGTGGCACTTCGTACGTGTGCTGAGAAGTTCGTCATCTTGGTGTGCATTAGCATCGACGGCGTGGAAGGGCCGACTCCAAAAACTCGACGAGTGCACCACGATGCTGCTTTTAAAAGAAAAGTCATCACGTGTGCCAAAACGGACGTAAATCGGGCTGCATCACGGGCGTTCGGCATGCGGGACTGGCGGAAACAAAAGCAGAATATCGTCGACAGCAAAGATTCACGCAAAGGCTTCAGTGGACCACAGCAGGGTCGGTTTCCGCAAATTGAAGAGCTGCTCGGCGAGTATGTGATTGAGCAGTGAGCGGCACAGCGGCCCGTGACGACAGAACTGCTCCAAGTGCAGGCTATGCAGTTAGCTTAAGAAAGCCAGATGCAGAGCCAGTTTGAAGTGAGCAGGTGCTGGCTAACTAACTTTATGAAGAGGAAAGGCTTTTCCCTCTGAAGGCGAACGGGCATGTGCCAAAAGTTGCCGGAGGAGTATGAAGAAAAGCTTCAGTTTTCAGAGGTTTGTCCTAAACTTGCGGCACAACAACGGCTCCCTGCTTAGGCAAATCGGGAATGCCGATCAGACGCCTCTTTACTTCGACATGCCTGGCACCACAACCGTCGACAAGAAGGGGGCGAAGCAAGTTCGCGTGCTGACATTGGGCCACGGTAAAACGAGAGTGACGGCAATGCTCCGTTGCACGTCAGATAGGCACAAGCTTTCCCCGTACCTCATATTTAAACGGAAGACGCTCCCGAAAGGAGTCTTTTTTCCAGAGTGGTGTGATCGTGTGGGCCAACGAGCGCGTTGCAATCGATGTCTTACTTTTTTTTTTTCGTTGTGGAAACCGGGTGCGCGTTACAATCGAGGGCGCGGTAGAATCGAGTAAATAGGGTAAGGTGAATGCCTTTATCAGGACAGAAAAAGAAATGACTTAAATCAACAATTTCATGCAGACTGTTGCAAGGGCAGTGTGGAACTGTGTAGGATATTTAACGCTTTGCTGCACAGGGCATCATTTTCTCCAGCAGTCACTGAAATGGTTATAGATAATCGTGCAATTGAAGATTCAGAGCTTAGGATAAAGTTCAATCATTTCTTTAAAAAAATCCTACAGCCAACTCGAGCAGTTCAGGCAACTATAGCTAATACTCGCACAAAACAGACAAAGAACATATTTCTTGGACCAACGGACAACGAAGATATAGTCTCAATTTTTTCTGCAGTAAAAAACAGCAGTAATCGTGACATAGCCGACATTCAGATTTCTCTGATTAAATATGCAATAAAAATCTTGGTTCCCATGCTCTCTCACATTTATAACTTGTCCCCATGAACAGACTGCTTTACAAAAGAAATGCAAACGTCCATCGTCACTAACGTCCGTGATCACCATGCTGTGTAAGAAAAGAGACGAGAATGAATGACTTTACAAATTATTGGCCTATTTTTATACTACTCGTATGCTCAAAGGGCTTGGAGAAAATTATTTTCGAAAGAGTCATGAACTTTTGCATTAAGTTTGACATCATATCTTAGTCCCTACATGGTTTCATGAATTGAAGGTGACGGAAATAATCCTCAAATTGTTTGAAACTAAAAAGTATGCATTGTTTTCTTTGTAGACTTTTCTAAAGCAGTCGACCGTTTCTGTCATCAGACTCTATTTCAAAAATTAGAATTGTATGGCATTAGTGGCATCTCACTTTGCTATAGTTTTTACATTGTGGAAACAGATTTCTTTAGACCACAGACTACAAATAGGCAACATGGCAATTGAAGTTGTAGAGACCATTAAAACTTTAGGAGTATTTTTCAATTGCACAATGTCATGGGATTCTCAGATCAATCTGATTGCTAATCTTTCAAAATATGCCGGTATACTTGCCTGAATGTGTCAGTTTCTTTTGGTTTTGGTAAAGTTAACACTTTATAACAGCCTGTTCTTGTCGCATGTAAATTATTGTCTTTTCATATGGAAAAATACAGTAGTAACAAACATAAATGAAATATACAAGCTACAAAAGAAAGTTTTTAGGTATATAGTAAATGTCGACTACTCACACGCACCTATGAAATATCTAGGAGCTTTAATATTGTCCCAATTCACAAACCTTACGAGTATTCGCTAGTAATCAGATAAAAGCAATCTGTTTTTCACAACAACTGTGCCTCCTAAAACATCTTTGAACTGGAAAGATATTCTACTCTTTACCCTACTCGTCATCTGCAACACTGGAACATTCTGTTGTGTAGAACAAATTTTGGGGCAACAATTGCTGCATTTCAATGTTTTCCTGTTACTGAATAAGCTACTTCAAAGAAAAATAACTATTGAAAAATGCAGTGCACGGGTCAGAAAGGAAATACTTTTATCGTGACAGTTGATAGAATGATGTTTGTTTAATTTTTTATAATTTGTGTGCAGAAAATTGCTGTTTGTGTATAAAAACATTTGTGTTATGTTATATTTTGCATAGTTCCATGAAATTCATGTAGCTAGAAACTGCCCATGTATGTAAGTCGTTTGCGCATAGCATTGTTTATATACATATTTGTACTTGTACTGCGCTTTTTTCCGCGCTCTTTGTTTTTTCACCCATGATCTATGTCGTCGTTGCTTCCACGTATCAGAGGCTCGGTCTTCCTGAAGTGGCAAACACCACTTTTCTCCCGAGCCTGCCCTCATCCTTGAAATGAAATAAAATCGAATTGAACCTGACAAACTCCCAATTTAAGGCACAACGACACATTTGGTACTCGTAAATTTAATATCGGAAAAGTAAGTCATAGATTTTCTTCAATACAAATGCTTTGCTGCATATTCAGATCGAATTCTGGCCACGGTAGCTGCATTTTGATAGAGGCAACTATGCTTGAGGCCCGGGCATTTAAATTCAGGTGTGTTTCACAGAACACCAGGTGGTCCAAATTTCTGGAGCTCTCCACCACAGCATAATCATGTTGGGGTTTTGGTATGGTAAACCCCAGAATTGCACATTCAGGCCAGTGCTGCTGTTTTCATTTTTATGGAGTGCAAATAAATCTTTTGCTTCATATTAAGGCAAAAGCCTTTAATGTCTCATAAACGCATCCATCCGTCTGCTTGTGTCCTGGAACGGTGCCAGCTGTGGCCTCTCCACCTCACATTCCCTTCGCAATCACGTGATTGCGGAGTCAAAAAAAAAAAAAACTAGAACAAAAACGCAAACATAAAAAAGAATCCTTTCTCACGGAGCAAGAATTTTTAATCAGGCGCAACTGCACTCGCTCGGGCGCCATGAAAAAGCCGCTATACTTACGTGCCCTCTGTCGTGAAACTCCGCTAATGAAAGAGAAAAAACCAGTACACCGCTCTCACTGCACTCTAGTTCAAGGCCACTCTGCTCCTATTCGCCGTCCGCGCTTCATGTCCAACTGGGTGTTTCTCGCTGGCTCCAAATTTTAACACAATACCGTAAAATACATACCTGCCAAGTCTCCCGGATTTTGACCGTTTCTTCCGTTTGTACAGATCTCATGAAAATCTCCCAGAAATCGAAATTTCTGTGCATAATCTGGCCTCATTGACTAAAACGCAGCCCAATCCACTCCTGGCTTTTCGAACCTACTCCATTTTATTATAAATGAGTTTAA